GCATGGGATGAGAGCAGGAGCAGATGGCAGCAGGATCCTGCCCCTGGGGTCAGAGATGCTGCAGGGCTCCCCGCATGGCTCTGGGGTCCTGCCCCATCCCCATCTGAGCAGACACCAGGCTGGTTACTGAAGCACCGTGCTCCTCCTCGCTTGCACCAGACTTGCTCCTCTGCCCCACCACCAAGGCTCCCCACAACTTGCTTCTGAAAAATAATTCCTTGTTACATAGAGATGTTTAGCCTAATCCAGCCAGGCAGGTCAGGCCAGGCAGCAATGCACTCGCTTCCCAAATATTTCATTTCTTTCGGCTAAACTTGCTAGTGAAAGGTGTTTTTTCTCCTGCACAGAAGAGAATAACAACTCTGACCTTGAGGAGAAAAAGGATGAGGGTTTGGAGTTTTCTTGCTTTTTTTGTTGCTATTTTTCTTGCAAAATATTCAAGTTGAGAGGGATTTTTTGCTTAAACAATTTATGCCCAGTGGATAGATTTATTCCGTTCAGCTGCCAGCCACAAAAAAGCCCCGTTATTCCCTGTGGCATGCCTTTTTTTTTTCCTCAATACTCATAAATACTCATTGCTAAATCTGAGTTTCTATTCCTTGCAAACGTGAGCAACCAGGTACTTCTGCCCCATTCCTAATGCTGGACATGGCTCCTTGTAGCCACCTCTCCTCCTTTGCTGGCCTGGCGCTAGGTAACCTGAGTGGTGCTCAGGACCTGCTCCTAAATCTCCCTCCCCATGCCTGGTCCCATTCTGCTCCCTCGTTATTTCCGTCTCGCAGGGACAAAGGCTGTGTAAAAATTGCTTTTTTTGAATGTCCTGGCACCAAGAGGTGCTTTGTAGGCAGCACTTCCAAAATCCCACCTGGCTGCTACCTCCCACGCTCCTGCTCCCAGCCAACACCCCACTGTCCTGGGTTTTAGCAGGAACCAGGCAAAAATGGATTTCCAGGCTGGCTGGGTGGTTTAGCATCATTCTTTTAAGGGAGAAGGAGAAAATGTGAAGGTTTGGTTTCGTTCTGAATGATTTATTTGAATGTGGCAGAAATGCAAAGTGAGTGTTTGGGCTTGACAGCAGAGTTTGTTTGGATTTGGGAGTGGAAAAAAAAAAAGAAGAGATTCTTAGAATGAAAAGTGGGCTCAGAGGGAGGGGAAAAAAAGGGAGACTTTCTTTTAAACATGTCAAAACTGGCTGCTTTTAATGCAGACTCATCACTTAACGCTCTTTTCTGAAACACTGTTCTATAATACAAGGCATGTTTGCCAGGGCTGGCATTGCTGCAGCCGTGGGGCTCGCTGGGGAGTTGAGCTGTGGTAGCTCCAGAGCTGGTGTGGCACCACCTGCCTGCCTCAGTTTCCCTTGTCTGCAGCTCATCTGTGAGTTTTGGGGAGCTTTGGCTGCCTCACCTCATCCCTACCAGGGTGGGCTAATGCAAGGGACCCTTGTGCTGCTGCAGCTCAAGAGATTGAATTGAGGTCTGGGCTGAGATCTGCAGCTCACTGCTGCAATGAGCTTGGAGACATAGCATCCCCCTCGCTGATGGGCAGCTTGCTGGCTCTGTTTCAAGCGCTTTTGATTTTCTTTAGAGCTCGTGTTTCTCAGCCTGCTCACCTCTCCACTAGTGCAATGGTTTAGGAACAGATGGGCTTAATTTCCGATTGCCGCCCCCTGAACTTGGGAGGCGGTTTGAGTTTGGAGCAAGTCTGCCTCTTATTCCATGTGACTCCATCCGGCAGGCTCCAGGTCTGCCTTGCCCCTGCGGACATGTAGCCTCTCGTACTGAGGACCTGGCAAAAACCTTTTATTTTGTGCCAAGGAGAGCTCTCTGAAGTAAGATTTTCTCTCTTAGCAGATAACTCTGTCTCTATGTTAC